GTACCAACCATTTCATTTTGTAGATGAGGAAATGGAGACTCAGAAAAGGGAGTAAACCTTTCCAAGATCACACAGCTATTGAGCTATGTGTCTCTTAATTCCCTGACAAGAGCTCTAGGTGCTGGAGATACACTTTTGAAGATGTCCTACATCTGATATCCTGAATGAAAATGATTAATGATGTAAGCAAAACACACTTCTATTTTGGGTTCCCACCATCCCTTTAAGATTTATTGTCTGGGAGGAGGAGTTGTAGTAATCCTCCCAGGCTAGCGGGCATCGTGACTTTTCTGCTGTTAGGTAAGAGGCGCCAACTAAAGTAGAATTTTCCAAAAAAAAAAAAAAAAAAAAAAAAAAGTAAAATTATGACTCTCAAGCAAAGATAAAATGAACCTATACAGTGTTGAGACTCTATTGACTGTCTTGGTTGTTAAATTTTAGTTCTACTCTGAAACTGTTGCTTGTCAGTTTATTTAGTCTAAGGTAAGGTGGATGGGTTAATAAAAGGCTGAGTAACAGCTCCTGGGAAGAAGCACAGCTGGCCTTGGCAGGAAGTGCAAGTGGGGTCTGGGAAAACATTCCAGGTCCAAGCAGCTACTCCCCACGGTTTCCATTAGGCAGACCAAGTGGCTTCTTGAGCGCACTTCTTTGCTCCTTTCTTTTGTTTCCCTGCTCGTCAGCAGGCACGTAGTTAGAAACAGCCACCCCAGTCTTGACTGCGAGTGATCATCAGTCACGAGCACAACTTCTGACAACAGTCTCTCCAGCTTAGTGCAGAGTCTTAACTGGGGCTGGCCAATCGGCTGCTCTTCAGTAAAGCAGTAGCGCCCTTTGGATTAGTTGTTCACCCAGGTTCAATCAGCTGTAGCCTAGAGGGAAGGGGCCATAAGGAGGAAACACAGTTGCCAAGGCGCTGTGAGTCCGTGTGTGAGAGAGACAGAGGGACAAACAGCCCGAGTGAGAACTTGAGACGGGCAAGCACAATAACACGTGCCTTTTAATCATTTCCAGTATGAGTCCTTCAAACACTGTGCTTTGTGTGACTCCCCTGTTATCTCAAGAGTCTGGTTGTCACTGTCTTGATTTTATTTAGCAGGATAAATTCTCTGGGAGGTCCTGTAGGAGCTCATGGTTGTGCTTTTCCCATTCATGTTTCCACTACCATGTGTGATCTTCGTTTATATAAGCTGCTAGAAACACGGATGTCTTACAATAAGCAGCCTCGGCTTTACCCTTGTGCACTCCAGGCTTCTCAGTCTCGGATGGGAGTAGAGAAGAGGAGGCTGACTATCATGAATAGGTTCAGGAGTGATTGGTTCTGCCCACTTTGGTGGGGCCTGGACGCATTTTGGTTCACTCTAGTAATTTCTTCCAGGAGCTGCAGTCTCGTGGGCGCAAGACGTGGGCCTGATAACTCCACAGGCAGTAGTGCTGGGGAAGAGCGAGCTCACCAGCCCCGGCTGGAAGACCTTGGGAGAGTAGCAGGGTTGGGTTGGTTCTCAGATTTGCTTTGCCGCAGGCTGTGTGATGGGTGCAGAGCCTGGGTAAATGAAGCTTTCCAGCTCGAGCGCTCCCAACCTGGGCACACACGGCCTCCTGTACTGCAAGTGGCAGTTTTGGGGCATCCCCCCTGCTTGGGGCAACCCAGGGGCGCAGGGCGCGGCCCCGGGAGCACAGCTCCTTCCAGGGCAGAGGGCGGTGCGAGGGAGGGAGCGAGGGAGGGAGCGAGGGAAGGGAAAGGCGAGCGTGAGCTGCCTCAAATGCTTGGAATAATTCCGCTTCCGTTTGGAAAGCCGCAGCCTCAGCCCGCCGCCGCCGCCCGCCGCGTCAGCCCAGCGCCAGCTCCGCGTCCCGACCGGCCCGCGGCTGCCTGAGCCGCGCCATGGCCACCTCCCCGCAGAAGTCGCCTTCTGTCCCCAAGTCCCCCACTCCTAAGTCGCCTCCGTCCCGCAAGAAAGATGATTCCTTCTTGGGGAAACTCGGAGGGACCCTGGCCCGGAGGAAGAAAGCCA